AGCTAGCAGCAGGCGGATTGGAGAGGTACTGGCGCATATAGTATTATGGCCGCTCAGTAACACATGGGGGGGGGAGCCCAGTCTCCGCTCCCTCCGCTCATTCCGCTCACTCCGCTCCCTCCGCTCACTCCGCTCCCTCCGCTCACTCCGCCTCCCCTTCCTCCTCCTCGTCGTCGTCGTCGTCGTCCTCCTCCTCCTCCTCCTCCTCCTCCTCCTCCTCCTCCTCCTCCTCCTCCTCCTCCTCCTCCTCCTCCTCCTCCTCCTCCTCCTCCTCCTCCTCCTCCTCCTCCTCCTCTCCCTCCTCTCCCTCCTCTCCCCGCGCTCTTCACCACAGGCAGCATAGGCTTAGCAATCAGCACTGGCGGCATGACATGGACCAGAGCGAGAGGGCCAGAGGCACGCGGGCGATTCTCACCCCACGCTCACCCCACCCCACGAGCCAGCAGCGTTTGCATGTGGGGTGCGGCGATGTGGTGTGGGTCGAGCCTGGGGATACAGGCAAGGGGGGCATAAAAAGGGGAGAGGATGACGAGGTAGAAGGTAGGATGGAAGGAGGGGTAGAGGGTGCGCGACGGCGGGCACGGACAGCTCAGAGGAGCACGCAGGGGGGGCGGGGGCAGGGGCGGGGGCGGGGGCGGGGGCGGGGGCGGGGGCGGGGGCGCCGAGGATGATGCGCGCAGTGAGGCGCACGGCATCGCTGCTTAGTGTGGACGAGGCGGGCGCAGTGGGAGGGATGGGCATGGGCATGGGCATGGGCATGGGCACGTCAAGGCCTCTTATCCTTCGTTCCACAATTTTACAACCGCCCATCTCCCGCGTCATGGCATATACCCCGTGCCCACCCATGTCCCACGTGGTGCAGACAATAGCGAAGCTCAAGGCAGTGCTGAGCGAGAAGACGTTTGACATGGTGGATGGGGCTTGAGAGCGGTAATGGGCATACATTCTGTTTGTGCTCGCTGCGCTGCTTTGGTCTGCGCTTCGTGACCTTACCACCGCCCTGCTCCCCCTTCCTTGCCGCCATGTCAGATCGTGAGTGCAGACAACCGCATTCTGCAGGACTCGCTCAAAGCCAAGGTGAGCACGCGCCACTGCCCCCAATTCACCTGCTCAGTTCTCCTCTTCCCAGAAGCAGCTTCTCGTCGCTTCCCCACCCGCACACTCTGACTCTCCCACACGTCACATCCCCAACCACTCCTCAACCCCTCCCGCCCGTCCCCCCTCGCGCCCCCTCCCCTCCCCGTGCGCCATCCATCAGACCCGGCAGGTGCAGCAGCTGATGGAGGAGGCGAACATGCTGCGCGTAGAGCCATCACCTCTCGCCATCACCTCTCGCCACGGCGCCACCCGGGGGCAGGGGGAGGGGAACAGCGAGGCTGACGGGCAGGCGGACGCAGCAGGGCAGGGCGAGGGTGGCACGGGGGCAGGGTCCGGGGGCGGTGAGGCGGGAGGGGGTGGCGGGGAGGGCATGGTGGTGGTGGCGGCTGGAGAGCTGGAGGAGCTGCGGTCGCAGGTGAGGCTGGCGAGGCAGGAGGCGGACATGCTACGGCAGCAGCAGCACCAGCTCACCAAGGACCTCGCAGGGGCGCGCTCCTTCGCTCCTGCTCTGCCCCTGCCAGTGCTGGCGCTGCTGGTGGGGCTGATGGGTCTGGTGCCGCAGCAGGGGCGCCGTCCCTGGCGTCGTTTTTGGACGGGGCGTACATGAATGGGCCGGATGGGCGGGCGGATGTGAGTGGGCTGCTGCAGCAGGTGGAGGCGGCGAGGGCGCGGGAGGCGCAGCGGCAGGAGCACCAGCTCGTGGAGGCTGAGCTGGCAGCGTATCGAACTGCTGCTGCTGCAGAGGCAGGAGGAGTGGGGAGTGGGGAGGGCGGAGATGGTGGGGAGGGCGGAGAGAGCGCAGGAGGTGGCGCAGGAGAGGGCATGAGGAAGCAGGGGGCGGTGGGAGCGGTGGCGGCAGTGGCAGCGCGGCTGGAAGCAGAGAAGGACGCGATGCTGGCGGTGCGAGAGAGGGAGGTGGGCGAGCTGCAGCAGAGCCTGGCAGCAGCGCAGCAGAGGGAGGCGGCTCTGGAGAGGGACCTGAGCTCGTGGCTGAGTTAAGGCACGTGGGGGGGGCAGCCGCTCCTCGTCTGTCAAGGAGAGTGAGGGCAGTGGCAGGGAGGGGGGTGGGTGCACGGCGGGGCGAGGGGGGTTGCTGGATGCGGAGGAGATGGCGGAGCTGGCGGGCAGCATTGGGGGCAGTGGCTGGGGGAGCTGCGGAAAGGGGAGAGCATGCGCAGCGAGGGGTGGGCAGTGAGGGGGGCAGTGAGGGGGGCAGTGAGGGGGGCAGTGAGGGGGGCAGTGAGGGGGGCAGCGAGGGGGGCAGTGAGGGCGGGGTGAGCCTGTCGGAGCCTGTCGGAGCACCCATCCACTTCCCCAACACAACGGTGCGACTGCAATGGCGCGGAGTGCAGATGCGAGTGCGGGCGGAGGGCAGCAGCACCAGCGGCTCAGAGATAGACCCGGTAGAGTACTGCCTTCATCACCTCCTTCCTGACCTTCATCATCCCCATCATCCGCATCATCATCTCGATGATGCTGATCATGGCGATGATGATGGCATGGAAATGGACTCCGGGGGGGATTACCATTTTTGCAAGAATTGTTTCGACGCCCCCATCTCCACGCAGACCCTGCCGTGCCACCACTCGTGCTGTACGGCTCGTTGCACCCTGTGATGCAACCATGCGTGCCCTGCTTTCTCTCACCCTCTCTTCCGGTTTATCGCATTGCCTCTCTCCCTGTACATGCTCCATCCCTGATGCTCGTCCTCTCCCTTTCCCCATGCATTACCTTAGCACATGTGTACATGAACCACTCGCTCTTTCACTGCTCTCAGTCTCTGCAACCTCAGTTTCGCAATCAATGCCGCTGCCTTTTCTTTCAGCGTGCCCTGGAGTTTCTGTTCCTAGCACTCTCCTTTTTCCCGCTCATAGTCTGCTCTCGTAAAACAAGCATCCCTCTGCATGATGCCAATCATACCGGTACTTGCTGTGTCCCTCCTTCCCCCCACCTGACACAACAGACTGTGAGGACTGCGCCCGAGATGCTGACCTGTGCGCCACGTGCGCCCGCGCTGGCTTCCAGCACACGCCAAGCACGTGGTGCCACCCACTTGACTCCTGACACACGTGCTTGCCTGCACTGCTGGGTATGCAGCAGATCTGGCGAGCACAGCATGGTCCGCTAAGATTGGAAATATGAAGTTCCGTAGCTCATACATATAAAGTACTAGAGAAGCTGCAACTAGGCGAACTGGCTTGTTTGTGTTGTGAAAGAGCTTCATGTATTTATTCAAGAGCTTTGTGTCAGGGCTAGCCTGGTGGGTAGATAGAAACTTTGCTTAAGGCGAACCAAATTATCAGATCTGGTGGCATAAAGCCTTCACCTGCTAACCATGATTGCTTCAAGTCCCATCTAAAGCTAGGTTGCTGGAGGAGCACATCCCTACTCGGAAGCTGGCTGGCGGTGCCTGTCCCCGTCCTTGCAGCAGTACTGGTGCTGCAGCTTCACACACCCACAACTCCTGCGCGCAAGGGAGAGGACGGAGGACGCAATGGGTTGGCACAAGGGGGTGTGGCATGGTGGGGAGTGGTGGGAGACACGGCAATGCAAAGGGACGAGTGGCATGCATGGAAGGAAGGGAGTGAATAGCTGCTGCACTCACAGGCATCTGACCACCACCGGCACGGCCTTGAGCGCCTTGGGTCCATTCCTGATGCCCCTCCGCGATGGCGTCACCTGCACGTGATGGCGCGAGAGGCGGGGGGACGCAGGCACGGTCGGATGGACGTCGCAAGATGATTGCTTGCAACCAGGAGTCAGACGATACTGCTGCGTACCTTCCTCTTAGGGACCGCCATAACCTCAAATCGATTCGCATCGTCTGGCGTCAATCGTGAATGCGACGGGGCTAAAACGGACGGGCCGGATGCGGCGGAGACGGCAGGGTGAATCAACGGCTCCGCTGCGCTCCCTTGCTGATCGAGATCGTACGGCGTGCAAGGAAGGGTTGGCTGATCGGATCGCGACGACGCGGCGCAACTTGGCGCATGCGGGAGACAGTGCGGGGCGGCGAACGGGGAGGCGGATGGGATGGAGGTGGAAAACGCGCGGTAGACAGCGCCGAGACACGCGCGCAGGGGGGACGGCGAGCTAAGGCGGCGAGTGAGTGCCATGGCTGTGCTGCCGTGCTGTGCGGAAAGCAAGGGGAGATGAGGAAGTGTGTCCGTTACTGTGAAGTTCGAAACCATGTAGGAAAACCTCCTTTCAGCTGAAGGTACTACATAATGGATCTTACAAGTATATCACAAGCATTCAATATAACAGAAATATATACTGTTTTGCAGCTGAAGTTTGGCAATTGTTTGGTTGGATGAAGGTGGAGTGACGTGGAAATCAGAACGAGGGGATGGTAGTCGCAAGCCAATGATATTGCAGGAATGCTAAGGCCAAAGGGCAACTGGTGCGCTGGCAGTCTTTGACAGGATGTCGCCTGAACACCCCACATTCAACGAACCTCCTTCACTCGTTGGGCGACGAGAAAACATGTTCAGGGCAGTCTTCTGTCTTCGTGAACGTTTTTCGCAGCCGCATTACCAGGCAACTCGCTCTCTCACAAGCGGTTGGGCACTTGCGAAAGATGGTGAGAACAACAAGACTCGACGTTTAACGTCGTATGGGTTGCGTAGGTATACATTTTCAATCTATAAATATTAATATATCATAGATATAAGAAAAGTATAATATGTTAAAAAATGCATATGTAGGTGATTGCTACTTTGGAATGGATGAATGATTAAACGTGCATTTAATGTGCCACCTGTTTGGAGGGTAAAATAGATACCGTAGATGTTGCTTGCGTGTGAGATTAATGATGTTTATTTAAAAATGGATATTACAAATTCCATTGGATATATGAGAAATACAATTATAATTTTATGTTAAGTTGTATATTATGCTTTTGAATTTTAATTTGCTATTTATATATTGGCTTTCAATCTATTATACTAGATACAATCTTTCAGCAATTTTGATTTTGATATGGTCATATTGGAACAACCTTAAGCTAAACTGTTTAGATGCACTATTTAGAGTCTCTCCATTTTGTATGAGTTGTCTTAGAAATGATGAGTTGTCTGAAAGATGATTCATCCACAAGCAGAATTGTGTCACTTCTGTAAATTTGACGTGGATTTCACGTGAGCCAAATTGTTGCAGAGTTGATTTTGGTAATACAACTCAAAAGTTACTCAAACCTGCCCAAGCCTCTTAGAAGGAACAAAATTTAAAAGTTGCCACCTTTTGCCCTCGAGTTTGATTTCGAATTTGACACGTAGATCGACTTTGAACCCACCTCAAATTTGAACAAATATTCTCCGAAGCGCATCCTCTCTTCGAATGCCCCCTCCCCCTTCGAATCCATCCTCCTCATCCATCCCTCCCATCTATCGCTACGCAGCTACTACTCAGATTGATCTCCTCACAAGCTAGTACTAGCATAGAGCAATTCTTGAGAAGCTTTTCTCAAACATTCTTGGCCATTCTTGACATATTCTTCCAACTACTGAGTGACGAATACCACAAGCACTACTCAGAGTCTTCAAAGAACTTATAGTGACAATCATTTTGGTAAGAAACACAATGTTTCCTAGGTGCTCGTGCATTGGGCTGCGCTGGTGCATTGGTTGCTGGCGCCAAAGCGCTGCCGGATTTTCGCCATAGCGCGTTGGGCGCTGGCGCCTTGGGCGCTGACGTTTTGCACTGGCGCCTTATGGGCGCTGGCGCGTTTCGGCGCTGGCGCCTTTGCGCTGGCGCCTTTGGGCGCTGGCGCCTTTGGGCGCTGGCGCAGTGGGCGCTGGCGCCTTGCGCGGGTGCCTTTGGGCGCTGGCGCCTTGCGCGAGCGCGTTTGGGCGCTGGCGCCTTTGCGCTGGCGCCTTTGGGCGCTGGCGCAGTGGGCGCTGGCGCCGTGCACGGTCGCCTTTGGGCGCTGGCGCCTTTGCGCTGGCGCCTTTGCGCTGGCGCCAAACGCAAACCAGCTTATACGTAATGCACAAAAATGCACCGAAGTCGCAATTGTACTTATAATATCAATTTCCGTTCTGCGACAACTCGTTTGGCACAGTTGGTTGAGTTTCGTTGGTGAACACAAAGGTGAGGAGATCGATTCCTGGCACTACTTAACAGTTGCGTTTTCGTCATGCTGTTTGAACACCCGACACCACCTTTATTAAATTTGCGTGTCAATATTTATCAGTTCATGTAGCACAGTGGGCTGAGTTATACAGAAGGTAAGGAGATCAATTCTCCACAGCACTGTTTTCGTGGCTGCTGTGTTTCGTCACCATATTTAAACACAGTCGGTAGCATAGTGGGTTGAGTTTCGTATATGAATTCAAAGGTAGGGGGATCGAATCTTGAAAGTCAGGTTAATGTGCCAATGACTTTTTTTGTGTATGCTCTGTATCTTCATCATGTTTAAACACACGCAGGTCCTTTCGCTTACCAATAATGCAAAAAAGGATCTATTGCCCATGCATTCTAACCCTATCCTGATAGTTCACCCCCTTGTCGTTCCCTCTATGGTCACTTTCGCTTGTTCTTCTTCCTCCATTCTCCTTGCCCCATTCTCCCATTCTACATCAGGAAAGCTCCAAGCAACCTTGTCCGACTCGCTTCTTCCCCTTCTATTCACGCTCACATCCCTCACTACTGTGTAAGACGCGATAGATGAAGAAAGCTTTCTTGAAATTGTGTCTCCAACGAAGAAGGAAATAAGAGTGGAAAATGAACTCAATCTCATTTCGTATTTAGTCTTTTACGTTTTCCCGTATCTTTCCACCTCTTCATATACCTTATCACGTTTTACTGCCACGAGCCTGTCAAGAGAGTAAGCATAAGCAGGAGCCATAGCTAGGAGAACCCTAGCTAGGCAAGAGAAAGTTTAGGCAAAGAGGAGGTTCACTAGCAGCAATGAGGATACATATAGCAAACCCTAGATGGGTTGTACTCGCTATAGAGCACCCCACTACAGGCTAGAGAATAACATTCTGACACACCCCCATAGCCAAAGTGGGGTGTAATCAGTACAATGAGCAAGCAGGTAGAAAGCAGGTTCACAAGTGCAAGCAAAGCTAGAGGCATTCACAAAGGGCAAGTGAGGAGGAGGAGGAACTGTGGAAGGAGAGAAGATGAGAGGCGACGGCTGAAGCTGCAGACACACGGGCAACAGGAGTCAAACTGGCACAGTGGCTACCGGAACAGCGCCCCGGACTACAGGAGTAACTGGCTCCGCGGCTAAGAAGAGCGGCAGACGAGCAACGGACCCACGGGCGACTGGCGCAGCTGGCTACGACTGGGCTACCGGAACAGCGCCCCGGACTACAGGTGCTGCTGACGACAAGACGGCAGCCTCCGCTCAACCTCCCCCGACCGTCCCACGCCCCTCTCACACACCCCCTGCTGACACCCTAGCTCCACTTCCACGGCACCCCCCTTAAACCCTAAACCTCGGCTCCCACACATCCACCCCCCTCAGCGGCAGCTGCAGCAGTGGGAGACGGAGGAGGAGGAGGAGCAGGGGACGGCGCACACACACGGCACCCCCAGAGCTGCCACCCCCACACTCCGCACCCCAAAACCCTAAAAACGGGCGGAACGGGGGAAGGAGCGCGGGGGACGGCGAGGGGGACGGCGCTCGGCCCCCAGAACGCGACCACGGGGCAGAGAGGGGCCGCGCGCGGCTCCCCAGGGCGGCGCGACGGGAAATCGGGGCCGCGGGGGGGTCGCGCGCGGCTCCCCAGGGCGGCACGACGGGAAATCGGGGCCGCGGGGGGTCGCGCGCGGCTCCCCAGGGCGGCACGACGGGAAATCGGGGCCGCGGGGGGTCGCGCGCGGCTCCCCAGGGCGGCACGACGGGAAATCGGGGCCGCGGGGGGTCGCGCGCGGCTCCCCAGGGCGGCACGACGGGAAAACGGGGCCGCGGGGGGTCGCGTGCGGCTCCCCAGGGCGACGGGATCGCGGGGCCGCGGGCGACGGGACCGGAGGGCCGCGGGCGACGGGATCGGGGGGCCGCGGGCGTCCCCCACGGTAGGAAACCGCCGTGCGCCTCGGTGCGCACGGCGGGGAGAAAACCGCCGCACGCCCCGAGCGCGCGGCGGGATGAAAATGTGAAGGTCGCGCGCCACGGGGCGCGCGACACTGAGTAGGGCAGCGGAAGCAGCAGTGGGGCCCACAGGCCAGGAGCGTGAAGGCTCTGTTACCATGTCAAGAGAGTAAGCATAAGCAGGAGCCATAGCTAGGAGAACCCTAGCTAGGCAAGAGAAAGTTTAGGCAAAGAGGAGGTTCACTAGCAGCAATGAGGATACATATAGCAAACCCTAGATGGGTTGTACTCGCTATAGAGCACCCCACTACAGGCTAGAGAATAACATTCTGACAGAGCCAACACACAAATAAGCACGCACGCACGCACGAACGAGCGTGCGCACGCGCGCACTCTCACGCATGCACGCACGCACGCATACACATGCACACACGCACACATATACAAAGCTTCACCTGCCATACCACCGTCAATATTTTTGGGCAGATTTAGTTGTGTTATAGGCATTCTATTCTTATCATAATAGCTCACCCCATCTTTGTCGTTCCCTTTTTTGTCTTTTTTTGCTTGGTCCTTGACCCCCATTACCCTTGCCACTCTACATCAGGAAAGTGCATAGCAGCCTTATCGAACTTCTTTCTTCCACTTCTCTTCACATCACTCACTATCGTGTAAGTCACGATTGATTTTGAGAAGTTTCTAGAAAATGTGTTTCCGACGAACCAGAAGGGAAGAACGGGTTATGAACAAAACTTCATTGCGCATATTCTCTCGGACGTTTTCTTGTACTTTTCCACCTCTTCGTACACGTTGCCACATGTTTCTGGTACGAGCCAATACAATCACACGCATAGTTTTACCTTCCATACCACATTCAATACTTTCGGGCTGATTTAGTTGTTTTATAGAATTTCAAACAGGATTTATTTCCCATGCATCCTATTCATATCCTGATAGTTCTCACCATCTTTCTCGTGTCCCTTATCGTCACTTTTGCTCATTTCCCCCCATTTTCCTTGCCATTCTACATTAGGAAAGTTCTTAGTAACATTGTCGGGCTTCCTTCTTCCACTTCTCCCTACGCTCACATCCCTCACTACTTTGTAAGCCACGATTGATTTTGAGTACTTTCTAGGAAATGTGTTTCCA